TAGAAATCAATCCTACTGTGCGGTCGATAGAAAATTTCGGGTACTAGACTACAAATCGGCATGTGATTTTAGTAATATAAAATGGTTGAATAGCTGTTAAACCATATTTTAGTACAAAATAGCATATCACTAATTTTTTCGATATAAAGTTTGATAGATTTCAAAATTTTATTAAAGGAAAAGAATTTGTTCCATTGATAAACTAAACAAAGTGTTCATTCTATGTCTTTTACCCCTCATTATCTCTTTGCTTTTTGTTTTTATAAAAAATCGTCCGCATATTATTAAGCAATTATGACATCATGCTCTATATCTGGTAACAAAGCATAGGTGTATGCTAGGCCAACACTCTTGGCCTCCCAACTACACATAATGTGTAGTGATGATAATAAGGTGCAGCAGTTACCTTAATACCCATTCTTGTCGCGCACTAAGAATGTGTCATGTCAGGCATTATCCATGTGGATACGGGACGGGTATGTCGAACCATACTTATATGTTATTTGAAGAAAAGAATTTTAATATTCAATTTTAGAAAAAATGACGAAGGGAGAACACTTCATAAGTGAATCATATATATACTAAAAAGGAGATATTTAGTCTAAACAGTTGAAAGTTGGAGTCTTAAAATTTATTTGGGATGAAAATATGATTTTAGAAAATCTAAAATAGGAGAAATACAAGTAGATATTGATGAAAATTATGATAGAAGGGATAAAGAACGAAATGGCACAGGGCGGGGTAGGTTGTAAGTAGTATCAATGTCCCTCCCCACGCTACTATGAGTCTAGTAATACCCACCCCAAACAAGTCGGGATATGACCGATTACATTCACTTGGCAAAGCACTAGTAAACCTAAGCGACCCAACACGCCTCGTCATTCCGCTTGTGAACCTAGGAATGACAATAGGACAAATCCGGGGTGGGTATCTTGATATCCATAATCGCCCCGTGGTAGGTTGAGTAATTTATCAGGGGCATGGTAGTAAGTAAGCTCATATGTATATGTAATTTAAAAGAAAAACATAAGGAATATTCATTTTTTTCAACTAAAACAAACTATAATATGATAAATGTAGTTAAATTATTTGAGAATATGAGTTTCTCACTTATTTACAACTTCATCATAGTTAAAATATGAGGTGATAAAAGTAAAATTTCAAGTAACTTGAATAAATTTACATGTAATTTAAATTAAATCAGGTAAAAAATGAGACAAATTAAGAACATTTAAGATCGAGTAGAATACTTATATCCGGGGAGCGGTTAGCTTGACTACCCTCTTAATGGGGTTTGATTTTTGACACCCCTCTTAGATACCATCCATCTAATCCAATGATAAGGATTAATCACCTGTTTTTTTAGACATTAATTACATAATTGATTTATCTCGCCATATTGCAAAAGGGAAAGAATCTGGAAAAAAACGGTTCCCACCCCCAATTTGAAACCATTTTCTTCTCCCCCTTTTTCTCTCCCTTTCGTTTCCTCCTCTCTCCCTCGATTCTCTCTTTCTCTGCTCGTCGTCGTCGCCTCTTCACCGTCACAGTCCATATCTCCCTCCGGGTCCGTCCCACATCCTCCGTCGTGGGCTGTGTCTTAGATGGTGACTGTCGCTGTTCGCCGAGCAACGCCAAGCTTGTCGTAACTCTCCATCTCCTTCCACAAGCTTGGCACTATGAAGGGATCGATGGAGAAGACGATGACCCTCCTCACCTTCCCGGCAAAGATGACGACCCGTCTCCCCTTCCTCCACTGGCCATCCTCCACTTCCCGGCGACGACGACGACAAAGAATCTGAGGTAGCTCTCTCTCTCTCTCTCTCTACCACTATCTCTCTCTCCCATACCCAGATCTGGGTTTTTGGTGTGGAACTGGTATTGATACCAGTGAACTGGTAGTTTATGATTATACTCATATGTGAGTACTGGTATTGGTACCAGTGTACTGGTAGTTTATCATTATCCTGTATTTTTCTATATTTGTGATTTTTTAACTATTCCTTATCAGTCTAGTTTTTTTCTCTCATACCCACTAAGATCTGTTTTTTTTCTTGTGGTAATGTTACCAATGCAATGATAATTGTAGTGTTTGAGTTTTTGTTGAATGTTATCAATGTTAAAACTTTTTATTCAAGTGGTATTTGTACCAGTGAAGTGATGTGTCTTACCAGTCTAGTGGTTTATCTACTAGTGAAGTGATATGCCTTACCAGTGCAGTGGTACTTCTTGTAGGTGCTCGGAGGGAGTCAGCAGGTGCAAAAATGTACTGCTAATTCTACCACTGTAGTGATAGTTGTCTTACTTATTGATTCGTATTTCTATAACTGCATTGATAGTGCTATTTGTTGTTTACAGAACTGGCCAGAATGAAGAGACCATATCCTTGAGTGCCTAGAGGGAAGAGGCATGGAAGCTATGTGTTTTTGTAATGAAGAAAATAGGTTAGGTCAGGATCATTTCTCGAGTGCGGGTACCAGCAAGAAGTGATTTCGTGAAATCCAGGATAATGGACAACAAGTTAGGGGGAAGAGGAAACGTACTCATTATCTTAGTGGCAAGAAGTGCAGCCCAACTCTATAATTCAAATTATGTTTTCCATTGCATTACCCAAGTGACCCAGTCATCCTTCAACACCTGATTTGTCGTTATTTAGGCTTCACACAAACAATATCCTAGTGAGTTCATTTTTGTTTATTACATTGGATGGATATTATTTTTTATTTTCATTTTCCTTTTTTGAGAACACATTCTTCTCCGCTGTTAGTGGTGATACTAATGGAAAGTTGCTTGTTTGTTTACGTATCAGATTGGTTGTACATATATACTTTCAGTAGTACACGTATCGGTTAAGTGGTTCATGTATCTGTGCAATGATATGTGTGTCAGTTCACTGGTATATCTATCAGTTCAGTGATACATGTACAATTTCAATGGTACCACTCCAAAGTATATCTAACACTACAATGAGAACATTTAGGATGAGTTTCGATTTTGCTAATGATACGAGTACATTATATCTAACACTGCAAGTGGGTGGTCACATTTTGGTGTGAAAAGTATGACTTGAATAGTTGCACAGTTACTTGTATCAGGTTACCACTTCAGTGGTACATGTATCAATTCATTGGTATATGTACGAGATTAGTGTACCAGATCAGTGGTACGTGTTCACGGCAGTGTTTTCGTTTGCCAGACACTATAGGGTTGCACTTCACGACAAGGAGCGACAAAAAACGATGTGCGGTTCAGAGGATAGAAAGGCTATACTTGATTTCCCTTGGTTTAGACTTCCCACAAACAATTTCATAGTGACTTCATGTTTATTTGTTGCATTGGCTAGATATTTTATTATTGTTAGCATTTTTTTTATAACACATTCTACTCCATGATTAGTGGTGATACTAATGGGAAGTTACTAGTTTGTTTACGTATCGAATTGGTTGTACATATATTTGTTTAGTGGTACGTGTATCTGTTTAGTGGTACATGCATCAATTCATTGGTATATCGGTTTAGTGATACATGTATCATTTTAATGGTACCACTCCAAAGTCTATCTAACACTGAAATGGGAACATTTAGGATGAGTTTCGATTTTGTACATGTGCAATATATCTAACACTACAAGTGGACGGTCACATTTTGGTGTGGAAAGTATGGCTTGAATAGTTGCACTGGTACTTGTACCAGATCAGTGATACATATACCAGATCAGTGGTACATGCTCACTGGAGTGTCGTCGTCTCCCAGACGTTGTAGGGTTGCACTTCACGACAGGGAGCGGTAAGAAACGACATGTTGCCTCCCTTCATGTACTTCTTCATCTCCGACGGGTTCTCCGCCGACGAGAAAGTATGGCTTGAATGGTCACATTTTGGTATAGAAAGTATGGCTTGAATAGTTGCACTGGTACTTGTACTAGATCAGTGATACATATACCAGATCAGTGGTACATGCTCACCGGAGTGTCGTCATCTCCCAGACGTTGTAGGGTTGCACTTCACGACAGGGAGCAGTAAGAAACGACCTGTCACCGCCCTTCATGTTCTTCTTCATCTCCGACGGGTTCTCCGCCGACGAGAAACCCCCCAGGTGTTCTTCTTCATGTTCTTCTTCATCTCCGCCGCCGCCCTTCATGTTCTTCTTCATCTCCTGTGTCTCGTCCATCGGCAAAGAGCAACCCACCAGGCAGGTTGAAGGCGACCCCACCGTCAGCGAGCAACTCGATGGTTTCCGGCCGCCATCAATTTTTGCGGAGGAGAAGGCCACCGTCAAATCTGCAGAGGAGAGGGATGGGTTGCTATTTTTTGGGAGGGAATATGGGAGCTGAAAAGGCACCCCCCCCCCCCCCCCCCCTCACAAACGTTTTTCTCTCTTCCCATTCATAATTATTATCACAATTAAGGCTTTCCCAATTTACAAGATTACAAAAAATAAAATAAAAATCAACTTTCATTAATACAACTTACCAAATGCTTAAATGGAAAAGTGACCAATCAAGAAGAGGGTGTTAAAAAACAGACTTTTTAGGGGGTTGGCACAATATCCGACTCCCTTATATCCGCACCCACCCAAAATAAGCCAAACAAATCGAGTAAAACGTGTAAAGTCAAAATTGTCATTCATAGCTACACCATCGATTCGGCTTGCAACCTTGTTCTCTCCGTCCCCAGCAACTTGAAGATCGCATTTTGGCAATCAGACTCAATAATTGCTAGCCCTAGATCATGCGGCCAAACTCAATTCTTTCTTTACTTTAACCCGGGAGGGAAAAAGGGAAAAGGAGAGTCGCAACAGCAGTAGGTAGATGATGATGATGATGATGATGATGATGATGATGATAAATAACATACCTGTCGCTGTTGTTTCTATTTCTTTTGTTGAATATTCCATGTGTTTAATACGGATTGATTTCTTATTTATTATTATTTATCTAATAATAGGGTGGCAGTCAGTTTCCGAAAAAAGAACGGTAAAGTATCCAATTCAAAGATCCCCCCGAATATTTAAGAAAGCCAGAGCAGAGGAGAGGAGCGGAGCGGAGGTGAACCCAACCACAACCAGCAAAGCATATACATATACAATACAGCCAGCCAGCCAGCCGTGTTTCTCTGTCAGACAGAGATTAGATTTCATTCCCTACTCCTCCGCTTCGGATCCCATCTCACCTCCTGCCTTTCCTAGGGTTTCGGATTTCCCCCATTGATTATTATACGCCTCTTCTCTACTACCACTCCGTCGCCGCCTGCATCACATTCACAGGTATGAATTGAGGTTCCTTCTGTTTCGCGTTCGTGAAACACCGTCTTGTCTTTTTCTTTCTTAGATTTGTCGTCTCAATTCAACTTCTTTCCACCCTTCTTTTGTTCCCTTTCTTGTCGGAATTCGTTCAACTTCTTGAAAGAATTGGCCACCTTCCCACCATAGATAGGATATTACTCAGAGTACTGAGTCTTCTGCTTGTTGGATTCCCGTATTCTGATTCGGCCTTCTCGTTCGAGCGATTCGTATCCGATGTTTGGTATTGGATTGGTGTTGGATTCGTTTTTCTTGCGCTGTTTGCTTTCCGTCATGTATTGATGCTTTCCGTTCGCTTCTTTTGTCTACTTATCAGGGGGGATTGAATTGTCGCGAGCAAAACAAAAGACCAAGGGAATGCTGAAAGATGTGGTTGAAACCCGAAATCCTTGTCTCTGATTTCAACACCACTGCAGCTCCATTCGACTGCAACGAGGAACCCTCGCAGTTTATACCTCGCTTCCCTTTCCTATTCTATGCCTCAATGCCAACCTTCAGATTCACAGGACCCAGAATCCTGCCAAACTGCCATGATCTCAGCGAAGATGGTTGAGCTTTGAATTCCTTCCCCTCCATCCCCGGCCGGGTGCACCTTTCTCAATATCCCACTACCGAGGAGCAACCATGGAGCAAAAGGAGTATGTGTTGATGAACAAGTACGAGATTGGCAGGATGTTAGGGCAAGGTACCTTCGCCAAGGTCCACTACGCCAGGAATCTCCAAACGGCCGCCACAGTGGCCATCAAGATCATAGACAAGGAGAGGGTGTTGAGAGCCAGCGGCATGATGGAGCAGATCAAGCGTGAGATCTCTGTCATGAAAATGATCCGCCATCCGAATGTTGTGGAGCTGTACGAAGTGTTGGCCACCAAGACCAAAATCTACTTCGTTATGGAATATGTGAAAGGCGGTGAGCTCTTTGACAAAGTAGCCAAAGGAAAGCTCAACGAAGATGACGCCAGAAAATACTTCCGGCAGCTCATCAGTGCAGTAGATTACTGCCACAGTCGAGGGGTCAGCCACCGTGACTTGAAGCCTGAGAATCTGCTTTTGGACGAGGATGGGAATCTTAAAGTCTCCGACTTTGGTCTCAGTGCTCTTGCTGAGTCCAAGAGACAAGATGGGCTACTCCATACAACTTGTGGGACTCCGGCTTATGTTGCTCCAGAAGTGATTATGAAAAAAGGCTACGATGGTTCCAAAGCTGATATCTGGTCTTGTGGAGTCATTTTATATGTTCTATTGGCTGGATATCTCCCATTCCATGATTCTAATATCATGGAGTTGTATCGGAAGATTGCCAAGGGGGAGTTCAAAAAGTTCCCTAGCTGGGTTACCTCGGAGGTCCGCAAGCTCCTTTCCAAGATTCTTGATCCTAATCCAAATACAAGGATACCAATAGCCAAGATCCTGAAGAACTCTTGGTTTCGAAAGGGTTTCCACCACTCCAAACAGCTCGCACCACCAGAGACGGAAGAGAATGAAGAACCGAGGCAAGCGGAAGAAGAAGTACCATCAAAGCTCTGCAACTTGAATGCATTTGACATAATCTCCTATTCTTCTGGGTTTGATTTGTCTGGGCTGTTTGAGGAGAAGGAGAAGAAGAAAGACGTGAGATTTACAGCAAACACGCCTGCATCGACAATCATCTCTAAGCTTGAAGACGTTGCCAAAAGATTGAAGCTGAAACTGAAGAAGAAGGATGGAGGGTTGTTGAAATTGGAAGGGGGCAAAGAAGGCAGGAAAGGAGTGCTTGGGATTGAAGCAGAGATCTTCGAGATCACTCCTTGTTTCCATTTGGTAGAGATGAAGAAGTCCAGTGGCGACACAATGGAGTATCACAGGGTTGTGAAAAAAGAGATTAGGCCGTCGCTTAAGGATATTGTGTGGACCTGGCAGGGAGAACAACAACTGCAACAGCCACAGGAGAAACCGCAGGAGGAGGAGGAGATGAAGCCTCCTGCTTCAAGCATGTTGCCGGAGATCCCACCTCGGAGTTTGACGGAAGCAGAGCAATCTGTTGTCTGATGTACTGTTAAGCTTTGAAAGTGCATGTATTTTTCATGTGTTCATTGGTGAATGGTATTGACATTCTTATTTGTCCTCTTTACGGAAAACACATAATGAATGGCAATTAAGCTCGGCTGAATTGATAATTCAAATCTTAAGAAATGAATTGAATCGAATTTCCAAATCATGTTTGAAATACGTATCGAAAAATGAATATCAAATAATCAGTACATATTTTATCATGCATGAATCATAATACCTTATAAATAAATTATATTGAGATAAACCCTATCAATCCCTATAGTCCATAACAACTAAAAAGCATAGGACCTCCATCTCATAAGAAAAGCAACCGCAAATAAAAATATGGAAAAGCAACCTTCTCGTCTCAAAGAAGGCCGGTGACGTCGTCGTCTCCTTCTCGTCTGTCGTTTGTCGCGTTCGGGCGCTTGCTTTCCGGCGTCGTCGGCATCGACTCGCATCTTAGGTTGTCGTCGTCTCTCCTTCTAGTCTCGTTTTCCATGGAATCGCCAAGGCCAAGAGACGTTATTTTTGGTAAGTTTTTGGGACATTGTTTTGCTAACGTATCTTTGGCTGCCTCGTTGTTTAATAAAACAGACCAGAGTTGTTAACAATTTAAGTTAATAACTTGGTGTGGGATTAATAATAATGCCTTCGTTAACTGTTAATATTTGTGGTGTTTTAATTAACAATCAATTTTGCATGTAATCAGGTCATTACTATTTTTAAACATATTATCAATATCTTCATAAACGAGTATTAACCGATAATACCAATTTATTAATAATACTTGTGGTTGTTGTTAATAATTGAAATGTTTAACCTAAATACACTTTGCACGTAAAAGGACATGGTTAGTAATTCAATGTGTTATTAAGTAAAAGTCATTACCCGGGGAGGGATGATTAATAATTCATGTGGGATTTGTTAATAATTAAAGTTTTTATGTTAATAGTAAAGTTTGCGAGAGAAATTTTATTGTCGATTTAGGTTAATAATCCAAGAATGGAAGATTAGTAATGATATTCATGGTTGTTAATAAGTAATCCGAGAGGAATATCTTTAGCAGTTAATAAAATTTTTCATTAATAATACTTGTGGTTGTTGTTAATAATCGAAGTGTTTAAATTAATAATCCACTTTGTACGTAAAAATGTTCGTTGTTTTAAATTATTAATTAAAAAGGATATGGTTAATAGTAAAGTTTGCATGAAAAATTTCATTGTCGATTTATTAATAATACTTTGCATGTAATCAGGTCATTACTATTTTTAAGCATATTATCAATATCTTCATAAACGAGTATTAACCGATAATACCAATTTATTAATAATACTTGTGGTTGTTGTTAATAATTGAAATGTTTAACCTAAATCCACTTTGCACGTAAAAGGACATGGTTAGTAATTCAATGTGTTATTAAGTAAAAGTCATTACTCGGGGAGGGATGATTAATAATTCATGTGGGATTTGTTAATAATTAAAGTTTTTATGTTAATAGTAAAGTTTGCGAGAGAAATTTCATTGTCGATTTAGGTTAATAATCCAAGAATGGAAGATTAGTAATGATATTCATGGTTGTTAATAAGTAATCCGAGAGGAATATCTTTAGCAGTTAATAAACTTTTTCATTAATAATACTTGTGGTTGTTGTTAATAATCGAAGTGTTTAAATTAATAATCCACTTTGTACGTAAAAATTTTCGTTGTTTTAAATTATTAATTAAAAAGGACATGGTTAATAGTAAAGTTTGCATGAAAAATTTCATTGTCGATTTATTAATAATACTTTGCATGTAATCAGGTCATTACTATTTTTAAACATATTATCAATATCTTCATAAACGAGTATTAACCGATAATACCAATTTATTAATAATACTTGTGGTTGTTGTTAATAATTGAAATGTTTAACCTAAATCCACTTTGCACGTAAAAGGACATGGTTAGTAATTCAATGTGTTATTAAGTAAAAGTCATTACTCGGGGAGGGATGATTAATAATTCATGTGGGATTTGTTAATAATTAAAGTTTTTTTATGTTAATAGTAAAGTTTGCATGAGAAATTTTATTGTCGATTTAGGTTAATAATCCAAGAATGGAAGATTAGTAATGATATTCATGGTTATTAAGTAAAAGTCAATACACAAATAAAATGTTAATAAATAACATAACTTAGTAGTGTTGATAACGATAATAACAAAAACCAAAAAAATTAAAAATGGACCTACCATTGTACAACCCCTACTCCTCCCATGCAACGACAAAACCCTAATCTCATGCATCGCCAAAACCCTAATCCCATGCAACATGCAACGCCAACAACCCTCAAAATAGCGGCCAAAAAAATCGGAGACAAAAAAATACCTTAACACGCGGCCGCCGACGAGAGACTGAGAGTTGAAACGAGAGAGAGGGAGAACTCGAACAGTCGGCCGGAGAACTCGACCGGACGAGAGAGAGGGCGAACTCGACCGGACGAGAGAGATGGAGAACTCGAACAACGACGACGGAGAGAGAGGGCGAACTCGACCGGACGAGAGAGAGGGAGAACTCGAACAGCGACGACGGAGAGAGAGGGCGAACTCGACCGGACGAGAGAGAGGGAGAACTCGAACAGCGACGACGGAGAACTCGACTGGACGAGCGTCTTCAAGATGATTGCGTCTGGAAGATTAAAGTCACAACGACCGGAGCGGGAGGGAGAAGGGACGGAGAAGGGACGACGGGCTCGTGCTTCAGGGACGACGGACTCGTGTTTGACGGAGAAGTTGGGACGACGGAAAAGTTGGAACTGACCCGACGGAGAAGTTGGGACGACGGCGGAATAATAAACAGACCTGACGAAGACCTACATAATACCGTCACTTAGGGTTTTTGAAAAAAATAGACATGTTTTAATTTAATTGTATTCTCCTTAATACCCCTAACAACTTTTTAACTAATAACCCCTACTAACTACCTTATCTTGAATTAGCCAATCACAAGACTTTAAGTTCTTCCTTAAAAAAGAGGCCTTAAGGACCAGAACTTAGGCCGAGATGGAGACACGATTTTTTTATTAGAAGGGGCCGATAATTTTTTTTTTTTACAAACTAATAGAAGAAAAGAATAAAATATCAATTCCAAATCATACACAAGATCTTTCTGAAATAAAAATTGCACAGAAGTATGTCCAATCTAAACATCATAATATATCTCCTTTAAAGTATTGTTTCACACAATATATTATTTTTGGATTACAATTGAAACTTTATGTATATTATAACAAAATAAGAACACGGTAAATTCTCATTTGAGTATTACATCAATTTCACCTTAAAATGTCGAATAAACTGAAAATGGACATATTAAAGCGTGAAATTACATGAAAAGAATGATTTTTTTTTTAAGAATGTGAAACAAACTTGAAAGTGGACATGAAATACAATGAAAAATGGACATAGCAAACGTTGAAATTGCATGGAAATGATTGAAATTCACTTTAAAATGTGAAATTACATGAAAACGGGTGCAATTCACCTTGAAAAATGGAGATAGCAACGAATATGTTTGATAATCGGTTCGATTCGCTTATAAAAGGAACCGTTTAGTCAGTTCTCGGTTAACAGTTAAACACTTTCTGCTAACCGTTAACCTCACCGTTTAAATTAATCGGTTAACCGTAACCGTATAGTCGGTTCTCGATTATTTTTTCGGTTAACCGAATAACCGTTAACTAAGTGATTTGACAAGGCTATACCAAAATACCCGATTGAATCTAACCAACAAAAAATCTCCTTTTTTATCATGAGTTGTAATTTGTAGTGTAGAAGAAGAATGACACTTGGAGATCGGCGGAAAACACATAAAAAGAAGAGTGTAAGAAACTAAGAACCAAACAATAATTATGTACCAGGTTAGGAAAAAATCCCAAAATACACTAGTTAGTAAAAAAAATTCCCAAAACACAGTACTTACGAAAATATTTCCCAAAATACAGCAGTTTGGGCATCACCGCTGCAAACCAAAACAGTGAAGGCAATCACCGTTTTGGTCAAAAACGGTGATAGCATCATCGCTTTAAACCAAAACAGTGATGCTATCACCGTTTTGGACCAAAGCGATGATGCTATCACCGTTGTTGACCAAAACGGTGATTGCATCACCATTTTTGTTTAAAGCGATGATAGCACGACCGTTGATAACGGACGCGGTGAATGGATCTTCACCGTTGGATTGAAAAGCGGTGAATAGGCGCGGATCGCTGACGTGGACGCGCGCGGGCTATTCACCGCTAATGACTAAAGCGGTGATGGCCCCGCTTTCCACGTCACCGATCCGCCCCACCAGCGCCTTCACCGCTGCCGTTCGATGCAGTGAGGCGCGGATTGTGGTTTTTCTCCACGATCCGACGGCTCACGTCGCGCCACGTGAGCGATCCGAGCCTTCACCACGTTCGTTCAAAGCGGTGACTTCACTGCCTTCGTTCAACGCGGTGATTGGTTCCTGGATCCATTTCCAGCGCCCCTTTCCTCTATAAATACCACTCCCCCCCCCCCCCCCCCCCCCCCCCCAATTCCAAACCACACCAAAATCTTATACTTCTTTCTCCCTCCTTTACTCTAGTTTCGTTCTAAGTATGCTCTGTGGTTGCGGCTAAGTCCGATCTTCCGCATCAGAAAGAATTACTAGAGTTTTTGTTTTGTCGATACTCTCGCTAGCTTTTCGGCAAAAAATGAACGAAGAGGCTTTGAGAGTACGTAAATTAATTTTATTCTTTTGTGATTTTTTTTTACATGGGTGCTAAAATTTAAATTGATTTGATTTTATATTTTTTTATAGATGGGTGCTGAGATATACGACCCTCGATTGTATATTGATCCTGGCCCAAGGGATCGAAGGTATTTAACCGGGCAAGATCAATGATAACGATGTAATTGCACATGTTTGCGCCCCTAGTTCTTATCCGTTTTGAGGGGCATAGTCGTGTGTTTTGGCCTATTTTACGCCGGGTTGTGCTATTTTGGCATGTTTCAGGTCCCAGGCGTTAAAGGGAAGGCTAACTGCGAGTTTCGGGGCATTCGGAAGTCGTTTCGGTGAGCTGGAGCCAAAACACGGGCAGCCTAAGGCATTACACGGCCGTGTACTGCTGGCCGTGCTTTTTATGCCGAG